ACTGGGTGTTATGCACAAACAATGAATCATGGAACACTACATCAAAAACTAATGATGTAATGTATGGTGATTAACATAACAATAAAAAATTATTTAAAAAAAAAAGTGCCTTGAGTTATGCTCATTATTTTTTTGGACAATGCTCAGAATTATTCTGTCAATTTTATAGGTGAGCACAATTGTATTTAGACTGAAACTGTATTGATTTGGAGAGAACTGACACCTCTACCATATTAAGACTTTCTATCCAGGGGCGCCTGGGTGGCTCAGTCATTAAGTGTCTGCCTTCGGCTCAGGTCACGATCCCGGAGTCCTGGGATCGAGCCCCACATCAGGCTTCCTACTCTGCAGGAAGCCTGCTTCTCCCTCCCCCACTCCCCCTGCTTGTGTTCCCTCTCTTGCTGTGTCTCTGTCAAATAAATAAATAAAATCCTTAAAAAAAAAAAAAAAAGATTTTCTATCCAGACTTACTGCATGTTGCTCCAGTTATCAAAGGCTTCTTTTAATGACCCCCCCCAAGTGGGCTTGGAACTGCTTCACATTTCCGGGTAAGTGTATTCCAAGATATTTTATATATAGGTATATATATATATATTTGGTCTTATGAATGGTATTAAAATAATATTGTCTAATTGATTACTGCTGATGTATAGGAAACTGATGACTTTTTGTGTAGTCTACTTGTCATATTCTCTTATTTGTTCCACTGGTAGTTGATTGGTGAGAAAATCATCTTTTGAAAAAAGAAAAAAAGAAAGAGAAAGAAATTGTCTCATATTTTTAAGATTTGTACATCTTCTTTTCTTTCTTTTTTTTTTTTTAAGTTTATTTAAGCAACCTCTACACTCAACATGTGGCTCAAATTCAGGACCCCATGCTCCACTGATAAGTCAGCCAGGCGCCCCTCTTATTTCTTTTTTATGTCTTACTGAATTGGTTAGGGCTCCCAGAACAATGTTATACAATAGTGAAGATGAAGGTATCCCTGACTTGCTTCTAACTTTAAAGAGAATGCCTCCTAGAGCAAGATTTTTAGGGGCGCGTTCTTAGATGTTATAAGGTGTTACGGGAAAGAAAAAAGGCCCATGTTCAAGTTTGGGAAAACAGACTAACGGCTTTATTTACTCTAATACTTTTTGGAATTTTTCAGAATTAAATGGGATGTGACACCCTGACACCCTTAAGAATAGGATGTAGGGGCGCCTGTCTGGCTCAGTCAGTGCAACTCTTGATCTCAGGGTTGTAAGTTCAAGTCCCATGTTGGGTGTGGAGATTACTTAAAAATAAAATCTTAAGGAAAAAAAAAAGAATGGGCTGTAAACTTTTCCAAATTTGACTATGGAAGCCACTTTCTCTCCTCTTTCTTTCCTCCTTCCCTTCCTCCCTCCTCCCTTCCCTCCCTCCCTTCCTAGCTTTCTTTCTCTCTCTCTCCCGCTCTGGTATTGGGGGGAAATATTCCACAGGATTGCTTTTCTGCAGAACTGTCTGGGAAGTTCATTCAGCTCTACTGTTTCATTATTTAGTGTGATGCTGGCTGCTAATGTGGATGTATTCTTTACCATATTAAAGAAATACAGTACATTATTCCTAGCTGGTTAATTATTTTCTGAAAAACACATGGATAATTTAACCTTCTTTTGGGCATCTATCAAGAGTGACTTTCTTGCTTCAATCTGATAAATTGTATTGATAGATGTCCTAAAATAAATCAACTTTTTATTCCTGGAAGAAATCCTACTTGTTCATACTTTCATGAAAGGCTGGATTTGATGTGCTAGTATTTTATTTTCGATTTTTACGTTATTAATTTGCAAGATGGGCCACTGTATTCTTTCAGTGTACTGTCATTTAGAGTATCAGTGTTGCAAATGAATTGGGAAGCATCTTCTTTTTCAAAAAATTAAATCAGCTTTACCGAGGTATAATTCAAATGCAATAAAAGTCACCCATTTTAAGAGTACGATTTGATGAGCTTTGGAAAAGGTACAGTGGTGTAGCCACCTCCAGAATCAAGGTGTAGAATACTTTCATCTCCCCAAACATTCCTGCAAGCTCCTCTGGAGTCTTTCCCCCATTTCTTGGCAACCCCCAATCCACTTCCACTTTTACGTCTGTACTGGGAACTGACAAAACTATAGCCCATGGCCTGTTTCTGAATGGCTCTTGTGCTAAGAATGGTTTTTACATTTTTAGAGGGCTGTAAATAAAAAAAGAAAGCAAAAAGCAACAAGAATATGCAAGAGAGAATGTATGGCCTGCAAGGCAGAAAATATCTGTCACCTGGCCCTCTGTGGGAAAAGTGTGCCAACATCTGTTCTTCCCCACTGGAGGAGGGTCTCAGGTTTACTCTCCACATCTTTGTTTCTCCTTTTCCACAGAGCCATTAGTGCCGCCCACTGCCCCCGTCTTGCTCTTACAGTTTTAGCTTCTTTGCAATGTTTTTATGTCTTCTTTTCAACTCCTCTTGCTGTCTTTTTCTCTGCACCTCTCCTTTTTATGTCTTTTGTTCCAGATTCATTGAACATTTCCTTTCCTGAATCCCTGACATGCGCTTCGCTCTTCCTCTGCCTGTTCTTCAGTACTTTCACATAAGGTTCCAAGATGTCCTGTTGCTCGGCTCTCCTCTCCTGATGTGCTGGCCCATGCTAAGATCTGGCCGGCCTCAATGTTTGACGACCAACTTTACAGACTGCCCTTTGCCCTTGGTTCCTTCCCTAACCTCCCACGTGACCGTCAAAGACCCCCCCACCCCCACCCCACGCGGGCGCTGCTCACGGCGTGTTAAGGTGGCGGAGCGCCCACGCGGCTCCAGATCTCAGCTACTGGCTGACTCTCCCCTAGAGCAGGAGGCTGTAAACTAGTGTCTATGGCCTGTCTGCCTCGCTCGCTAAGAGTGGCTTTTCATTTTTTAAAAGGATTGTTTTTAAAAAAATAAAAACCTAAAAACAAAAACAAAAAATGAAGAAAACTACGGGGCAGAAACCCTCTGTGGCCCACAAAGCCTGAAATATTTCTTATGTGGTCTTTTATGGAGACGGCTGTGACCACTGCCTTATTAGAGCATCTGTCTTCTGATGTCATGACTGGCTCTTTGAATTGATGAACTGCAACCCAAACCTACAAACCTGCCACCAGCATCTTTCCAGCTGAGCTCCTACCTGCGAGGTTTGTTCATTGAGGCTTTATTTCAGAAGCAACCAACTTACTCTAATTCTTTTTTTTTTTAATAATTTTTTTATTGTTATGTTAACCACCATACATTACATCATTAGTTTTTGATGCAGGGTTCCATGATTCATTGTTTACCTACTCTAATTCTTGACAGCTTGCTTTCTGCACGAGGTTATCTCCATCCGGGGACAGAAAGATGCACAGGGGGCTATAGACCCAGGGACGTACTGGAGAGGAGGAGGCAGAGCACTGGGAAAGGGGACCTCACAGATCGGTACCTAGGAGTTGGAGGGATGGCTGTCTTATTTTCAGGTCACTGTGAACCCCAGATATCTGCATTAAGGCTCAGCCTCAGGGGATAAAACATGTCTTCCTATTTCCTCCTTTTTTTTTTTTTTTTTTTGGTAAAGAGGATTCCATTGCAAAAAAAAGTTGTAAAATCACTAAGTGAAGGTTTAAAGACAATAGGTTAACATGATGACCTATTACCATATTAATCAAAAAGTATAATCATTAATGTTACCTGTAATCATGCACTACTTTTCTTGCATTCTCTAATTGTTCGTTGGTTAACAGGATATTCCTGGGATCTGTTACAGTGAAGAAATGATTGGCTCGCCCAACAAAGGTGCTTTGATCCCATCGAGGTTCCTTGATGTTAATGTTCGGTGGAAGTTCTCCAGACATCGTCCTGGACTCTAGAGGGTCAAAAAGACAAGTCTAGTCAAGACTTATAATGTTGCTACACATTTTAGAAACTCTATAGTCACATTAATTTCCAGCTAAAGATTTATGTACATTCCTCTTTATAAAAATAACTTTGCTATAAATGGCAGAAAGACAATCTAACTCCAAAGTTACTCTGTCCATAAATCCCAACTGATCTTAACCAAATTTCAATAATTTCCCACATATTTCTCCAGATAGATACATGGTATTTCATCATTCCTTAACTTTTGGAAGCCTAGAAATACTCTAGAAAAAGTAGAAATAGAAAAAGTTAAAAATAACATCAGCAGTAACAGGGTCTGAAGTTTGAAACCCCTTCTCTGGGTGCGACAACCAACGCCAAACTACTACTCCATTCTGGTCTACTAACTGTGTTATTTCTACCGGTAGAAGTGACTAATTATGCAAAAAGCATTGGTTACATGCTAAAAATTCCACAACCAGACAAAGACTCAGATTCAGTCAGCCTTGTTCAACATATAAACCACCAAACAAAAATGCAAACTTATGTTCCTCAATCCAACAGGGACGTGGTGGGAAAAACACATTCCGACAAACCCACAAACATGAGTAACACTGTAGCATATCATTTCCCTCATGTGATACCTATTTTATAGCTAAGAACCATTACTGTTTTCCCAAAAGTAGCTAATTTCTTTCTCTGAGTGATACACACTTATTTTTAGAACTGCACTGTATTATTGTAGAAAATATAGAACAAAAAACCAAAATCTTTGATAATTTAGCCACACTGAGATAACCATCCTTTATGTTTTGGTAATGCCTTGCAGACATTTTTTATACATAGCATATAAGTAAAAAATAAAGTTGATATCATACTCTGTATTTTAATTTCCTGATTTTTTTTTGGCACTTACTTCATGAGCACTCCCTATGGCACTAAATATTCATTTTAGGTATGTAACAACACCTTTAATGTCTAAATTATTTTCAGTTTTTCACCATGATAAATAATGTATCCTTGTCTATGATCTTTTCCCTCAAAGCTGGTGATCTCCTTAGACTAGATCTCTCTGTGTGACACTAGTAGACTGAAGGATCGAACACTATGAAGGCTTCAAACCACTGCTTTTTTATTCCTGTTTCCCTTCCCTACATTTCTAATATCAGTTCGAATAGCAGCTTTCTTTTCCAGGTCATTTTTCATGAAGTTATTTTTTAGTGCTTCTCAAGTTCTTAGGTACCTTAAGATGCCAGGTGCAGATGCTAGGCACTCTTGTCATTTATACTTTCTCAAAATCTCAAACTAGTAAGTATCATAGCCCACTGGATCAAACTCGAGCATGTTAGGACAAGAGCTGTGAGGGATCCAGTGCCTGTGAAATAGCTGGTCAGTAAGACTGAGAAAGTCAGCCCTGCTACTCATAAAGCCACAGCTGGAATAACAAGCAGGGACAAAGCCAGTTGCAAGGTTAATGGGAAACCCTATCGCCCCCAAGGTCACAGCTATAAAGTGTCACAAGACTGCCCTACTTTGGATGACTACTGCTTTCTTATGTCACCAAGACATCGTGTCTTCTATAATCTTTGCTATTTGAATTCAAAGCAGAAAGAATGAAACATCCCACTCTGGACAATGAAAAGGAGCCTGGATTTCCAGCATAGGTGTGGAGCTTCAGATTAGGGAGTTTCTGGACACGACAATTCCACAATTTTCTTAACTTTGTAATTTCCAAGGAAACAGGGCAGTGGGGCCACATCACAGTCTAGACCTCAACACCCAGCCCTGGTTTAAGCCAATCAAAATATTGCTTCACTAAAGCTTCCCTGAAAGTCCACTGTTCTCCAACATGCTCTAAAAGCTTTATCTCCTCCTTTGTTGGCGAGACACACTCTGTTCCTCTGGTCTGCGGTCTCCCTCGATGCAAGAAGCCAATGAGCATGACTTTGTCGGACTACAGGTTTGTCCTGCTGGGTTTTGGCTGATTGAGCTGTGGTAAGAGAAACATCTGAATTTCAAATTAGGACACATCAACATCATGGGCATCAAGTCCAGTGATATAAGAAATACAATGTACATCAAAGAGCTGTACCATTGTATGAGAAATGTCTAAATTTTGAATTAGAATACGTCAAATGTGTTATTTATAACCCTTGCAAAAAAGCAAAACAAAATCTCCAATTCTCATTCAGGACAGCAGTAGTTTTTAGATGTGTCTGCAGAGACCTGGGGCCCTGCTGAGATTCCTTAGTGCCCCCCAGGGAATGGAGCGGATTCAGCAGGTGGGGTTACAGCAAAGGAGGCTGACAAGGAGTGACCAGCAGGAGAAAAAGCAAGGAGAGCATGGTGTCCTGCAAGACAGTCTCTCCGTAGTCCAACTGGCCAAAAGGAAGAACACCTTGGTAGGTGGTGACTCCCATGTTGGGATAGTGAAGAGAGGAGCATACAACCCTGAGGGGCCAGCCTAGGGGAGGGGGACACTGCAGAGACGGTCGTCTTTGCAAGTTCTAAAAATTCTGAGCCATGGTGGTAGCAAGTAGGGAGAGACTGCACACACACATCACACGTCCCTCTGCAAAGACTATTACTATCTCCTGTCTCGAGGTTCAGATTCCATAGGCCTAGCAAGAGGCCGGGCGTGGGACTGTGCCGGCGCTCTGGCCCGGCCCTCCTGCAGTCTGGGCACCAGGCTGTGGCTGTACGTGCAGCTGGAGCGGCTTCCTTCCTGGCGTTTCTCTGCACTGCCTATGCCGCTCCTCAGGCCTCAGCAATCACCGTGTTCCCCGGTGGATATCTGATACAGACTGTTCTCATAAAACTGAGTACCAAGTAATCTTTCTTGCCTTCAAGTACAACCCTCACCATCACTACTTGTCCTTTACACCTAACATACATCATCCCCCAAATTAACACGTTGCATTCACAGAATCCTAGTTCTTCATAACAGACCATCTCCAATTTGTGAAATAGAAAGCAACATTTAGGTCAAGTTGCCACAAACAGGATCTGGGTTTAAAACCTGGTTATTTATAAAATCAAAACGTCCTAATTGCATAAGAGCTGGATAGGGTCTTTAAAAAGACCTTCCATTTTTAACTGCACCATACAGACGAGGAAACAGAGGCCCGGGGGGGTGGGGGGTGGGGGGCGCAGATAACCCGCCCAGGTGGTGTGACTGGTGCCAGTGGCAGAAGAAAAGCTGCAGGACCACAGCAGGACTGCACTCCCGGGCATTGGTCTGCCAGTTTCCCTCTTTCTCCTCTACCACTTTCTGTTAGCCATGCGCCCCTCAAAGTATACCAACTAATGCCCGCACAGAACTGGTCTCTTTGAGGCCCTCTTTTTCCCTCTAATGCGAACGTTTCTACTGACACTGTGAAGTTCTGCACTACAAGGAGCCTGTGGTGACTCTGGAGCACGTGAGCAAGAGGGCTGTGGAGGCCTCACAAGGTCTTTCTTTAACAGGCAAAGAAAAAGGAGAGAGATGGGGGAAACGAACCTCAACATGTTTGGAGTTTGTATTACAGGCAAGGAACTGGGCTGGATGCTTGCCTAAGAGTGCAAGCCCCTACTATGTGCCCATGGCAGAACATTGTATCTCAGTTCTCACGATAGTGTGCTCTATGAATACTATACCATTTTTATGGAAGACGAAAGTAAGAATCTGAGATGTTGCTCCCAACTAACCCTTATCTACCCAGCAAGAGAAGAAGGAGGCTGATCTTCAAACTCCAGGCCAAGCCCACCCAAACTTCCACACTGAAGGCATACATCGATGGGCCCTGTATGGACCTCTGGTAGGCTGAATAGTGCCTCTTCCCCAAGATGTGCACATCCTATCCCCACACACTGGGAATATGTCACCTTCTGTGGCAAAGGGACTTTGTTGGTGTGATTAAGTTAAGGATCTTGAGACTGGGAAACTACCCTGGCTTATTCCGGTGGGCCTGATGTAATCACAAGATCCCCTACAAGAGAAAGAGGAGGGCAGGAGAGGCAGAGTCCGAGGAACAGATGTGAGACAAGCAGAGATTGGGGTGATGTGGGGCAGTGAGCCAAGGAGTGTGGGCAGCCTCTGGAAGCTGGAAAAGGCAAAGAGCCTCCAAAAGTAACACAGACTCATTTTAGACTTCTGACCTCCAGAACTATAGGTTAATGTACTATTTTACAACTACTAACTTTGTGGTTATTTGTTATAGCAGCAATAGGAAACTAATACAGCACTATTTTCCCTACTTAGAAAGGATTTCAAATAACACTATATACTGGTATACGAAATACCAACTAGCCTTGATCATCTGTCTCTGCCTCTACGAATTTCCAAAACATAAAGCCTACTCAGGAATGCCATATTAACATTCTTACAAAGATAGCTGATCTCAAGCCAGGTAAAATTTTAATTATTAACTGTGACTCCCATGTTTCAATCAGACAAGCCTTTTCATGCATGAACCTTCAAGCACACTTCACTTTCTCAACTCTAAATAAATCAACCAGTTTCTATAATCAGAGTCCTACTTTCATTTTTTCTTTTTCTTTTTAAAAATTTGTGTCCTATTCCACATTAAACAGTGGGACCAGGAGTGGTCCCACCAGGGCCCTGGGGTACTTGTCTCCCTCCTGTCCATCCCCAAGCCTGGGTGCTCTGATTGCGGACCAAGCAGCAGCTCTTTGTGCACTGAGTCAGGGTGCTGGAGGAGGGGGCACTGAGGTGCTGCTGGGGACCCCTCCCATCAGCATCCCAGGCATGCTGCATTTTGTACCTGGAGCTGGCTGAGGGAGGAGGCCGAAGCTCACCTGGGCCTCTGACCCTACAGCCACCTTCAGGGCGAATGTGCCCACATGGCCTTTGCCACCACGTGGGGGGGTTCCCTGGGGCATGCCCCCTTTCCACCTGCTGGCTGGGCCACGGCAGGTCCTGACTGCTTGGTCAAATCACTGTGTCCTGGGCGCCCACTGGCTGGTGGGCAGCATTGGTCCCTGCATACTTGGGGGCAACTATTTGGG